AAGATGGAAGATAGCACAATAACAGAAAGGCGAGATATCCGTGACTGGTCGAGGATCATGGCGTAAATCTCGGAATAGATCAAATCAGAAACGGTTAATTAGCTAATCATGGGATTTCGTTCTGTAATTAGAATTATACCATAAGTGAAATTCCTCTACTATTTAAAGGGGGGTTCTAATCATTTGTAAGACATATTGTTCAAAGATATAAAAGCAATATAATTCTCTTTTTCGTTTATACTATTGTTTATCAGCTTGTTATATTTTAATTGTTGTTACATCAACCAGTTTGAGGGTATCTAAACTCGAGGGCTGAGTTCCATTCTAACACCGGTTTGCTTTACTTTATAGTTCATTTCTATTATTAATCCTCATATTTATCAATTGTTATTAAGTGAAATCACGTGTCTTTAGAACCATATTATAAGTTTAATTGTTATCAAATTTTAAGGGTAAAATATGTTCAAATTCTGACTTGACGCCAATTGACCTTTGGGATTAAAAATGAAATAGCAATAAAACATGTAGTACACGGGTTAAGGTACATTTCACGTTTATAATACGCATAAATCATTTTGTTTGACAGCAAAAGATACTGTCTCCGATCAATTTTAGTTGACTTGTTTCTTATATTAGTTTTAGGGTATACGCGTTGCGCGTATATTCCGTCTAAATAAGTACATAATTTCAAAATCACATTAATAATATATTAACGAATAGTATTTGAGCAATAAAATTGTTGAGGAAAAAAGAGTAAATTCCTAAAAAATAATTATTTTTGTCCTATATAGCTAATTTAACGAAGAAAGAATCCGTTACACAGAAGTTCTTAATCATCTTGGTCAACATATTCAACTAAAGGTTTATTCCATCGTTATAATTTCATTAGTATTTCACAAGTTTTCATGCTTCTTTTTTAGTATTAGTACGAACACATAAACTCTTGAAGATTTAAGAGTTTTTTCTGATTTTATTTAAATATATATGTTTTTAAGTTCATTCTATAAATACAAGCAAGGTACAAAAATCTTTTTTTCGTCGAGAGAAAAATATAAATTCTTCTATTTCTTTAATTAATAGAAATACTATAAGAACGGTAAAACAACTCAAAAAACATAAATAAATTTTGAGAGTTTGGCCAAACAAGCCCAATGATTTTATTAAGGTGCAGATGTATTTTAGATCCTTATCAATTATTACTCAATTTATATTCTAAGATTGTAAATATTTAGTGGCATTCATATTCCTAGCATCTACCGGTAATAAGGCCAATCACATCTCTTTCGTATTCTTCAGCCACGCGCACTATCAACTGTACTAAATTTATTATATATTTCTCTAAGAAGTTTAATTGTTCTAATTTTAAATATTTAAGGCTCATTATTTCTAATTTCATGTAATTGCTTTCTATTTTTCATAAAATAACAAATTACATGTCCACGGAAAACAAACATGGTAATTTGTTATATTTTTCTGTATGAAGTTTGATTGCACAATTCTAAAATATTTAAGGCTCATTGATTTCTAACTTCATGTAGTTACTTTTTTTTTAATACATAATTTCTTCATAAATTGAGAAAGAGTTTCCCTTTTATTTTACGAAAATTTTTTCTCAAAAAAATAAATATTTTATTTGTATTTATAATTTTATCCAACATAAAGTACGAGGGTAAAAAAGACGAACATATTTCGCTAAGTACCTTCGTGCTTTTAATATAGTATAAATATAATATAATATAATATATGAATATGATATGATATTTTCATCATAAAAAAATATTTTGCTAGAGAAATAAAGTAAAAAAGAATTGCGAGAAGTGGTGCTAATGCATTGCATCTTCGTCAAACGTTGAAATTTATCACTAATCCCTCTTGTTCACTTTTAGTTGTCAAATATTCTAAAAATAAATTTTCAATTTTATTTGTCATTTTTCGCATATCAAGAGAAAAATAATTTATTTTTTTTATTTTGCCTTTAACATTAATTACTCATTTCAAATCATTTTTCAAATCTATTAAGACTATACACCAATTAATATGAGTATCATGATAAATTATGCACTTTATTTATTATTTCTTAAGGGTTGTGCAAAGTCATAATAGACGAGTAAAAATGAACGGGAAGAACTTATGTTTCTGCCCAGAAGGAAGAAAAATAAATAAATGACTTGAAGATGTACATAATTGTACTTAATTCTTCCATGAGAGATGTGAAAAGTGAAATTAAACACCAAAAAGTCAAGCTTGTCAAGTCCACTCATACCTCGAATATTTGGTGTTTGTATGTTAACTTGGGTAGTCTCTTGAGTTTTAATTGTCTTTGGCATTTATCGGTGCTTACGTATTGTAATAAATTCTAATTGCTTCTGTCTTTATTGAATATGGACATGTTTTGTAGGATTTGCACTAAAGCTTAATTAGATAAACCTTGCCCGAGAAAATCGAAAGTCTTACTAAAAGCTGATCATATGAGTGCTGTGCTTGTAATGAATTGGAAGGGACTCACGGGCATTAATAATGAATAATCTAGCTGAAATTATTTAATATTTTTTTTGGTGAAGGGCAAAATAGTCAATCAGTTTATTACGAATATTTTTGTAATTTAACTTTAGTCTTCCCACTTTTATATATANCTCTTCATTACGTAGTATACATTTTCCTCATTCAACGAATATAAACTAATATTGTCTTATACTATTCGGCACTTAATGTAACAATTGAACTAACATCCCAATAATCTATAAACAATTCTTCAAACTTTCTTTAGAAAATTCAGAACGAACTATATGAAATATCAAATTCTAATGGGACGCGCGACATGAGTAATTAGAATCTAGGAGAATAGAAAATGGATAAAATGAAAAGATAGGAGTAGAAGGCACGCAACAGCTAAAAAAGGAGGACTATTTGATCGTCTCGTACAGAGTAAAAGAACACACAAAGTAATTAAATTAGATCAACATTGACATACCACATAATATATACACTTACCCTCTTCCTCTGGTTAATAATACTGTTATATAAAAGGAAAAAGCATCGACAAGTATATCTTCAAGGCACAAGAATTACGTACGGATAAAGAGAAGAGGGAGCTTTTTCATGATGAATTCACGAGCAAAGCCAACAGATACTGCTGAAGCCTTGGCGTTGGTTAGGGCAGGGCTTTTTGATTTGTTTTGTATTTGGTTGAGCAGCCATGGATATTTGTGTTGGCGGAGAACAATTGTGGTCCTCTTCTTCTTGTGGGAAGACATGAGCAGCAGCACAGGGCATAGCAGCCCCGACTTTTTGCCCCAAGAATTCAGCACAAACAGCATCAAATGAACTGAACAATGAATTCATGATTCCTGGCCTGTCACTACTGAGGATTGATAGTAACAGCTTGAATTGAATAGATGGTTACCGAAGGAGATAGAGTAGAGAGCTATAGATATATAGAGGAGCCAAGGAAGGAAAGCTGGATGCCGAGTGTGGCTAAGAAAAGCTTATAATAGGACAAAAATTGTGTCACCTGGTTGTCCCCACAGGCACGAATCACATGATCGGAGGAGGGAACTTCATATTCATATATTACATGAATAATGCCTTATTGGATTGGAAATTGGAAATGGAGAGCGTGATACTAATATGAATATTGACCGCCCGCTGTGTTACAGCTGAGCAGTTTTGGGTCCCATTTCTAGCTTGTTAGAAAAGATAGCCATTATCGAGCTTCATATCTATCTATAGCAGACTAGCAGTAAAGCCGCCAACGTACGACAGCATTATACAGCTATTTTATGTTTGGCACATTGTGCAATTTTTAAGATGGCAAAACCCAAAACAATAAAATTTAAATTCTTTTTAAAAAAAAAAATAAGATGTAGGGAGTTGCTACAAAAAGGGGAATAATTTTCCGAGTGCACGACTCGAGGGGGAGTTAAGCTTACTGTAAAAACTAGTCCCAACAAATTCAGCAAGCCAAGGACTTGATTTTTTTTCAAGCCAAGTACACAATCATGTTAACTATTCCCTCCGTCCACTTTAAGCGATCTTTTAATTTTTTTTTTTTATGATTTAAAATATTTAATTTTTTTAGATACTAGTTGTTTTATAAGTCAATTGACCAAACTCTATTTTAATATAAATCACTCACCAAACTTTGTATTATTTCGATCCCAACATTTATAACCTTACTTATTCACATACTAGAAGCGCATAATATCATCTATTACGGATGAAGTAATTTGTGAGAGGTTTCATCATTTTACAGAGTTACACAGCCGACGAACGAAATTGAAATACCCAAAACGAGGACATCTGTAATAATGGCGTCTAATGCATCTCCATGGATTTAGACAGTGAGATCTGTTTTTCATCTTTGAGGATTAGTTTATTTTAAAATGCGTGTTGACCTAAAGTCCAAATTAACGGCGTCCAGAGAAAGCATATCTGCGACAACGGGACCCAGCATCTCCTACTTTCCAGAACACAATGAATGCAGTTGAAAGCTCTGCGTCACCTTTCGCGGTTTCCAATGCAACGACTGACGGGCACAACACTTTTGAATCAAGTTATTCTTACACGTTAGCACTATACGTTTTCAACTAACAGAGTATGAGGGAGTAAATTCAAGAGCGACACAGAGAGTTGTTGAAAAGATGAAGCTGTTAGTCTATCGAAAATAAATTTCTTATTTCGGAATATAAATAAAATTTGTATATAAATTATTTTTTATATATTTTATTAGTAAAAATTATATTGAATTATTATTGTTCTTATTCTTACAAATAAATTTAAATTCATTTCATGTTCCAGCCACTTAATTATTCTAATTTTGCTTTTTTTTCTTGCTTCTTTAATAAATAATTTAGGTAATGAAACTGACTCTAAACTGGCGTTCGGGTTTTAGTTTAATTGTCAAAAAAAATACTTGAACTTGTTCTCGAGGAAATAATTATGCACCTCCATTTTAGAGTAGATAGTTTAAGTACACACATTTCTTTCTTGCCAAGGGAGTCGTTATGAGTCATACTTACATTTTTACATAAGAAATACTCCTATTTTAGATGATTTTTTTTTTCTAATTTAGGACGCGAAATAAAAAATTAAGGACGCGATATACGAGGAAAGAAATTAACCTGTGATAGGCCACATGGGGAGAAGTAGATACGTCCCCGGAATTAACATAAGCTATTAAATAGGGTTTGATAAAATGGGAAGCGTCCAAGCCTTATTCAGACGGAACAGAGTATTTAGACTGAAAAGACGCCCCCGCTGACGCAAAAAGAGATAACATCTACAGGTCGAGATCCGGCGAGTTTCGTCGGATTTCGTCCCTAACAAACTGCATCTCCGGCGTACGTCTGTTTGATTATTTCCTTTCTTTTTTTTGTTGTTTCCGACGAAGAAATGAAGGGCTCCTGCACTCTCGTTGCTTCCATGCTTGCCGCTTCCACCGTGGCTATTAGCTCCACTTCCTATTCCTCCTCCTCCGCTGAGCCTGATGTCACCTTTCACTCGCCTTCTACCGAGGTAAATGTCCTTGCTATGTGTATATGTGGTGTTATCAATGTTAAAAGAGAATGTTTTCTTTCATGTTTGTCTAATTATTTGATTCTAAATTATATTTCAGCGGAATTAATAATGGAGCTCTTCAAAACATTAAGTTATCTATCTGCTGGATATCCACGTTTAGTGTCTCAATCATTTCGAAACTTTGTGATTTTTTTTCATGCATTAGCCTAAAGTTTCTCCATTGCTAATGTAATTATTCGATAGATTGCATGATATGGATCTTTTATTTTCGCTGTATTTGGCTATCGGCTCGGCTTTGTTTTATCTCTATAACATCTGATTAAAAATGGTGCTAATTATTGGCGAATGATAGATTAAAAGAAGAAGAATTTGAATCGCAGGGACTTGGGTGTTCTTCGTCGACGGAGAAGCGCAGATCTGACAACTCAAGGAAACAGCCATTGAGATCAGAGAAGGAGAAATTCACTCCTAGATTTGACGGCCTGAGATTCATCGAGACTTTGATTACGGCTCACAGGTGAAATCGATCATCAATGTAATTACAGGGTCAATTAATAGGATTTGAGGAACCGAGGTAGCATTAGGCCCATTTGTTTATCGACTGAAATAGTCATGATTCATGAACATGGCATCTTTGTGCAATGTGATTGATTGACTTGTTTTATTTTTCTCTTAACACTTATTTTGGAAATTGCATCTCTAATGGATTTTTGGAAATGCTTGGTTGATCATCCTTCATTATTTGGTAGTACTAATTACTCTGGAGCATGGACGTATAGTTGTTCTTGTAACACGGTTTTGTTGTCAAGTTTGTTTGGCATGTTGTTTCAAGTCATGGTCAAATCAAAATTTATATAAACACTTGATTTGATTGTTGTTGGTGAAGATATGTTAGTATTGCCATGATTTCAGAGCTAAAATTTTAAAGAACTGAGGCAATGAAAAGAGGTGCAAAAGAAGAGAAAAAAAGGAGAGGAAACAACAACATACCCATTATTATCTCAGGTGGGGTATGGGGTGGGGTATGAGGAGGGTAGTTTGTACGCAGACCTTACCCCTACTTTTGTGAAGATAGAAAGAATGTTTTTAATAGACCCTAATTGTTTGAATATGCAGCTTGAGTTCCGACCTATCCATCTTACAGTAAAGCAGTCTCCTTTTGCAGTTTTTGAGTTCGGAATTATCAAGTCATTCAAGTGTTATTTCCTTGTACATCTGAGTATAGTCTATTATGATCTACTAATTTGTATAGTCGCTATTTTCCAATTGGCCCGAAGCGCTTTATGGAGACTAAAGAAACTTTGTATGCTATAAAAATTGGTCCAAGAAGGTTTGGTCAATCGCGAACAAATCTGTGTCGCAAATGTCGAATACCATTGTGCCTTGTACATAACATCAGCAAGTTCAATAGTTTATGTACCAAACCTTTCATTTACGGTGGCTATCTCTTCATATTCTAACCATTCAGGAGTCAGAGCCGTAGCTCTTGACTAAATCAGGTATTCCTATATTGAGCAACCTGAATACGAGGATATTGTTTCAATATAGAGTAAGCAATGAAGTATCATCTTGAGAGGTTAATTTGTGGTGGGAAACAATGATGTAGGTTTGTGGTGTGTAATGAGGTGATAGTCACATTGACCATATTGTTGGCTAATCCCCCAGATAAATTGTAGTCCATAAAGACTATGAGGTCGCCTTCCCCACCTCCCTCCCTTCCTCCTTTAACTACAGATTAGCCCATTGTTACGCGCCATTAATTAGCTGCAAAAGGTATATGATGAATGACATTCACAATTTCTTCCTACTGGCCCGCCACGCCCCACCTAGTATCTCGTAATTCCTTTGCTCTTTGGATATTTTCTGCCAAGTGGAAGAGCATACAAAACCTAAACAGGGACAGGTTACGTGCTACTAAGTCACGTGAAGTTCGTGTGTATGTGTGTGTTAATGGTCATACATCTCAGTATCGTTTTATAACGATTTTCCTTTGTTGCACAGTATCAAATTTGATAATAAATTCACTGGTGATGAATATAATACTATTTCAATCCTAATGAAATAGATTAACTTTGACTTGCCTTTTATTTTTGTGAGATGATACGTTTTTCTTCCTACAACTGCTCAATTTAGCGCTAAGTTGTATTACACTATCCTAATTCAACCATTAATACCCAACGACTACTAAAACACTTATTTTACCAAGCCTTATAATTAGATGTTCTTTATCATAACAAATGAAATGTCGATAATTGAGTTGATATATGGATTTGCATAACTTGTCTTGAACGGCATATAAAGCTCTGAAAGAGGATGGAAATACAAGCGGGCAGAAGTAAGATATGTGGCTCAAGTCCAACTGAAACACCAAATAAATGTAGTAAACGAAATGAGATGAAGGGAAATTTTGAATAAACAAGCTAACAGGGAGTTGTGAATTTGGGGTAGCATGTTAGCCGTAAATTTTGGACGGGTAGGAAGTGCGCAAGAAAATCGTGGACATAAAAATCTAGTCGATAGACCACTACCCGAACTGACTTCTAGAAATGCATGAGATTTTTGCGCAAATAGACTTTACTTTTTTTAGATTATATATAATTTTATATATATATATTCATCGATTATTTTTAATTTAAGTGATAGGATAAACGATTATTTGAGTTAATTATTCTGCTTAATACATTGATATGCCACTTGAAATACATAGGAATGCGACAGGAGATCCAAATTGGTGTATCAAATGACACAAAATCTAGTGGTAGTCGTACGATTTGTTTAGTTGATCACATGTTCATATACTAGGAGACAGAAGACCATATCACATCAACAAGAAGAGGAGCCCTTTGCGAGGCCCAAGTTGAAGTTGAGCCGTGAATTGGAAAGAAACAAACAAATAAACAAAAATTAAGCAGCGACGTCGTTAGCACTTAGCTCAACTTGAGATAAAATCTCGATAACCAAAGTCCAAAACCCAGCATATTCGCAGGAGCGTTAGGTGATAAGTCCCTACGTACCATGTGATTTTCTACTAATACTGAGGGATAGCCACCCATTATTCTAATGACACGTGTCGCCAATAATGAAGACTGAAAACTTGCCACCTGCTACAAATAATGAAGACTCTCAGCCGTTGGTTCCTCCTCATTCATTCACAGTAAAATTCATTTCACCAACTCAGCTCACATCACTGCCGGACAATCACTTCCCTGTGAACTGGTTGGTATATTTTATTCGTCTCATCATCTTCCCTTTCTTATTGATCTTCTGCCCAACTCCTTAATACCCTCCCTCTTTCACTTACTTTTTCACGTTCAAATCTAATACTAGCTGATTTCCAGGTACAGTGATCGATTATCTTTACTTTTTTATGTCTAGAATTGAAAACATTAAGTGATAGCCTTTCAGTCTTATTCCATAGTAATATATATTATTATCTTGATTCGTTCCGCAATTGAAGCATTTTTTTAATGTGCTGTTGTATTTCGTTAAATGACAGCCTTCCAGTCTTATTCCATACATATATATTATAATCTTTGGTTCACTCCGCAATTGAAGCATTTTTTTAATGTGCTGTTGTATTTCGTTACTACTCACTGGTAAGTGGTAACGCACAGGCTTGATTTCCTTTTTCTTTTCTTTTCATTTTTTATGTTGCGAACTGAGAAGTGGTAATGTAATAAGTGTCTGATGCTCTTCTAATTTTGCTTTGTCTACACATTTATTAAAGTCCTCGGCAAAAAGCAGATCTTTTAAGCATCCACCTTTTTGTGGTTGATTCTTTTGCCTAAAAGGTGCAAGTCATCTGTTTTACTTCCTACATCTTTAGACGGAGCACTAAGTCCAAGCAATAGTTCACTTTTAGAGTGAACAGTGACTGAAAATGATAACTTAATGCTTTCCCTGACATATGCTGATGCTGGCCTCGAATTCACTGTGGCTTTGGTAATACCCCATTGCTGCTTTAATTTCTTGCTGTAATAGGAGCACGATGAAAATGACATGATTTATTTATTGCATGAATGGGGAATCATCAATGATAAACGTTAAGGCTCTTAAGTGCATTTATGTCAGAAATCAATTTCTGGAGGGTAAAGTATACAACAAAGTTTTGCAATCCTATGTTGTTCCTTTAAGTTGGTATAAGACTGTAGCTTAGTCTCTCGTAGATTCTCATTCTGAATATTAATATACCCCCTTCCTTCTTGTAGACCGCAATATCACACATGGCAAGCATCACAGCTTCACACTTTGTGTCAAGAAGCTCAAATGTCTGCAGTGGAGCAGCCTCTGTAGACACCAGAGCAAACTTGTCACAGATAGGGCTGAGGAACCATGCTCTGACTCACAATGGGTTGAGGGCTGTTAACAAGGTTGATATGCTGCAATCAAGAACTAATACTAAGGCAACAGCCAAGAGATCCAGCAAACAGGGATCCGGAACTGAGATGGAGAGGCCATCAGGTACAATTGTTTGTGGAAAGGGGATGAACGTGATCCTTGTTGGAACTGAGGTCGGTCCTTGGAGCAAAACTGGCGGGCTAGGTGATGTTCTTGGTGGACTACCACCAGCCTTGGCAGTAAGTATCAGTCTTTGGTTTGGTTTTTATTACATTGTCGTACTCATTATTTTGTTTTAGTTTGAACTGCATCAGTTTGCAACTGATCTATGTCTCAACTCTTAACGTGTCCTAACATACGATAATCATTTAGGCCCGTGGACATCGCGTAATGACAGTATCTCCCCGTTATGACCAATACAAAGATGCTTGGGATACTAGCGTTGTCGTTGAGGTACTCCTGTAGTAACTGCCTATGATTCAATATATCTGTTCCATTCCCCGATTCAAGCATGTGACCCCTGCTTCGTTTGCAGATCAAAGTTGGAGACAAAATTGAAATTGTTCGTTTTTTTCACTGCTATAAACGTGGGGTTGATCGTGTTTTTGTCGACCACCCAATGTTCTTGGAGAAAGTAAGCATAGTCTAAACCCTTGGAGAGGTCCTGAGGGATACTCCAATGTGTGAATACACAGAACACATCGATTTGAATTTCTTTTGACTCTACTGGTGCTTTTACCCTTGAAGGTTTGGGGCAAAACTGCTTCAAAAATCTATGGCCCTAAAGCTGGACAAGATTATTTGGACAATGAACTTAGGTTTAGCTTGTTGTGTCAAGTAAGTTAATTGTTGGACTATTGTCTTGACTCTATGTGGCATTTTACTCAGTCAATCCTTATTTAACCTTGTTTTCTTGTCACTCTCAGGCAGCTCTAGAAGCACCTAGAGTTTTGAATTTGAACTGCAGCGAGTACTTCTCAGGACCATATGGTAACACCTCCCAGTTTCAGAAAGCTCCTTCGCAGTCATAGTATGTCCTAGTAGGTAATCATCTTTATTGTGCCTATTTCTACAGGAGAGGATGTTGTCTTCATTGCCAACGATTGGCACACTGCTCTCCTTCCCTGCTACCTAAAGTCGATGTACCAATCAAGAGGAATCTATGTGAATGCCAAGGTAATAATCTCATTGTTGTCACTTTATTGCACTTTAATCTGCCAATAAAAAAGATTGTACTGATATATGATAAATTTCACATTGCCTCCAGGTCGCTTTCTGCATCCATAACATTGCCTACCAAGGCCGATTTTCTTTTTCAGACTTCTCTCTTCTCAATCTGCCTGATGAATACAAGAGTTCTTTTGATTTCATTGATGGGTATGAATTTAATTCTTGGAATCAAACCACCAACTTTAGAAGTCTTTTGATGCTAGTAAACTCAGTCTTTTTAATCTTGCAGATATGAAAAGCCTGTTAAGGGTAGGAAAATCAACTGGATGAAGGCTGGGATATTGGAATCACATAGGGTGGTTACTGTGAGCCCATACTATGCCCAAGAACTTATTTCCGGTGTTGACAAGGGTGTCGAACTGGATAACGTCCTTCGTAAGACTTGCATAACTGGGATTGTGAATGGCATGGATATCCAAGAGTGGAACCCAGCAACTGACAAATACACCGATGTCAAATATGATATAACCACTGTAAGATGGGATCTTTCTGACTTCAGGATATGCTGAAATATTTTGTAGGTTTATGAAATGAAGGAGTTCTGTGCTAATCAAAATCTCTATACAGGTCATGGACGCAAAACCTTTACTGAAGGAGGCTCTTCAAGCAGCAGTTGGCTTACCTGTTGACAGGAAGATCCCTTTGATTGGATTCATTGGTAGACTTGAAGAGCAGAAAGGTTCTGACATTCTTGTTGCTGCAATTCACAAGTTCATCGGGTTGGATGTTCAAATAATAGTCCTTGTAAGTAGTGAATAGACTCATGATGTCTGCCTTGTTGTGGTTACTTGTGCTGAAAATTGAAATTGGCTTGCAACTTGTCCTATGCATTAGGGAACTGGCAAAAAGGAGTTCGAACAGGAGATTGAACAGCTCGAAGTGTTGTATCCTAACAAAGCTAAAGGAGTGGCAAAATTCAATGTCCCTTTGGCTCACATGATCACAGCTGGTGCTGATTTTATGTTGGTTCCAAGCAGATTTGAACCTTGTGGTCTCATTCAATTACATGCTATGCGCTATGGAACAGTAAGAATCTTAAGACCTTAGTACCCTTCTACTGATTTTTAAAAAAAAAGAATCATAAGACCCCAAAACTTGTTACTCCAGCAGGCTTTTCGTTGCTAAAAATTGGTTATCTGGTTTTAACATAATCATCTTTGAATCAGGTGCCAATCTGTGCCTCAACTGGTGGACTTGTTGACACTGTGAAAGAAGGCTATACTGGATTCCATATGGGAGCCTTCAACGTTGAAGTATGTGATTTTACATCAATTGTGTACTTGGACATGGTCCATCTCGTTCTGAAGATATATCCCTTATTGCACAAACATTAACTTATTATGCTTCTTGAATCTGGTCAGTGCGATGTCGTTGACCCAGCTGATGTGCTTAAGATAGTAACAACAGTTGCTAGAGCTCTTGAAGTTTATGGCACCCTCGCGTTTGCTGAGATGATAAAAAACTGCATGTCACAGGAGCTCTCCTGGAAGGTAGGGATCAATTTGATAATTTCTGTAGGTACGTGTGGGTTGTGGTTCTCGTCAATGAGTGATAGCAACTGTTCTTTAATTTATGCAGGAACCTGCCAAGAAATGGGAGACACTGCTATTGAGCTTAGGAGCTGCTGGCAGTGAAGCCGGTGTTGAAGGGGATGAAATCGCCCCACTTGCCAAGGAAAATGTGGCCGCTCCCTAAATGAACTTCGGTCATATATATATCCTTGTTTCAACAATAAGGCCATTAAACTAACGTGTCCAGTAAAAACATGTGGAATCCAATGGCATCAATCATCAACTAGATGATTTGGTTTCTCCTAGCAAGCAGCGTAGCAGGCTGTAAAACTCTGATTAACGTTTTTGTAGGGAGGGCTATTTAAGGTGGTGTTGATCAATGACAATAGTAAATAGTTACTACTAACCAATGCAACAACTTAAGAGATGGAGAACTAGTTGTGTGAATTCGTTGTTCTTTACTGGCATAATTATTTGCAGTACATGCATAATGAAAATTAGAAAAGGAATCATGTTTTCCTACCTCTAAGGCTTTCATTTATGCTCATCCCGCAGTTGATGTCTACAATTGCCGCTTCATTGTATGATCCTCCACGTTCTCATTAATCTCCAGAAGTTTACAGTTGCAATCTAGCACATATTATTTCTCTAAGTGGCAGACATATGTATAGGCAATGGAAATGGGGATGGACCATTATCACATACCTAAGGAACTCGTAGCTCTCCCAGGAGGTGACGTGGCTTTAGTTGTCATCCATCCAAGATGACTTTGAAATTCAATTCAATATAGAGCTAGAAGTTTAAGTTATGAAATTCTGCGTAAAAGTCGTTTTTAATAGAGAATGGAAAGAACTCAATCAATTACAATTTACACAAGGTCAGAATCTCAAATTATTTGGTTGATCACATGAACGACGCTTAACATGTGCACAATTTCTTCGAAAAGGAAAAGTGGTTATTCTCAGTCCTTGATGACTGTGAATGTCATTAAATCAACATGGCAAGATTCTCAAAGTTAAGAAATGAAATTCTTCATTTTACTTTAATAGTTGTCAACAAAATACTGCTGTATTACTCCACGTACTATAAAGTAATGTATCCGTCCTGTCAATTGCTGATTGATCCATTGATTCAGAGGTAAAATGAGCAATAGATTAGAGGCTATGATTGATATAATTACCTCACTAAGCTGGACGTGAAAAACCAAACCATCTGGTTTGTCCATTTCCTATCAACATTTTCATAATTGCATTTAGGTATCACCGAAAGATTTTTTGACATTTTACAACCCCCNGCTACTACTCTATTAGTATTTCTTGTCCAAACATCACACGGAGAGAGAGTTGCGTCTAGGCATGTGTCTTTTCAACTAATCAACTATACTTACAAATGTTACACATCTATTTTATTCAAATCGAATCAATATGATTCTAAATTCTATGTCTACTGTCTACTAAGCTATTAATGCAGCTAAATTGATCTACTTAAAAGTGTTGTTAGTTTTATTCTTTCGTCAAACTAAAGCAACAAATTTAATTCCGTTGAAACTGAATGCATTTAGGACAAAGATCTCTATGTTCCGAACCAAACACAAGTCGGTGATAGTCTCTGTTCTCGCAGATATTTTATTAATTACTAAAAAGAACAAGAGATCACAAAAAGCAGCCGCCGTTAATAATCTTTCACTCCGTTACTTATTACACTCCCTTCTCCCAGTCATTCACCACTCTCTCTCTTTCACCTTTTTCTAGGCTTTCACCATTTTGCTTTAGCATAGAACTTAGCTTTAGCTCCTTTCTCCGGTATCCATTTGCTGCTACGGTAATGGAACCCTTCACACATAGGCACTGCTCTTTTACCACATTGCTTGTTGCATGCCTGTTTTTCAGCCCAATAATGGTGACTTCTCTGGGTATCAACTATGGCCAAATCGCCAACAATCTTCCCTCGCCGGAAAACGTAATACCCTTAGTCAAATCCATCGGAGCTAGCAGAGTGAAGCTGTACGACGCTGACCCGAAAGTCCTCAAAGCATTTGCTAATACCAACATTGAATTCATTGTCAGTCTTGGTAATGAGTACCTTTCTACTATGAAAGATCCATCCAAAGCTCAAGCCTGGGTTAAAAAGAACGTCCAAGCTTACTTACCTTCCACCAAAATCATCTGTATCGCCGTCGGTAACGAAGTCCTCACATTTAACGATACTTCCTTAACCTCCAATCTCCTCCCTGCTATGCAAAGCGTTCACACTGCTCTAGTAAACCTCAAATTAGATAAGCAAGTAACCGTCACCACCGCACATTCACTTGCTGTTCTAGAATCTTCCTACCCGCCTTCCGCCGGAGCATTTCGTAAGGATCTCGTCGATTGTGTGACTCAGATCGTCGACTTCCATTGTAAAACTGGATCGCCTTTTTTAATAAATGCGTATCCTTACTTTGCTTACAAGGGAAATCCGAAGCAGGTGTCACTGGATTTTGTTCTGTTTCAGCCTAATTCTGGTATTGTTGATCCGAAGTCCAATCTCCACTACGATAACATGCTTTTCGCTCAGATCGATGCTGTTCACTCAGCTTTAGCTTCGATTGGGTACAAAAACGTGTGCGTACAGATCTCGGAGACGGGATGGCCGTCAAAGGGAGACGCCGACGAGGCCGGAGCTACACCGGAGAATGCTAGGAAGTACAACTGTAATCTAATAAAGCTTATTGGTCAGAAAAAAGGAACGCCTATGAGGCCTAACTCCGATTTGAATATATACGTGTTTGCCTTGTTCAATGAGAACCTCAAGCCTGGTCCTAGCTCGGAGAGGAATTATGGCCTCTTCAATCCCGATCGATCTCAGGCCTACCCCTTAGGTGTCCCGGCAGTCGACGCCTTCAGTAAAAATAGCAGCAGCTCCGGTGGTGGTTCTGGAGCTGGCACCGGTGCCACGTCGTCAGCGTCATTGCCCCCAGCAAGTTCCTCCTCCGGCTATCTTGCCATTACTTCCGATTCAGTGAGCCTTTTACCTTCTTCTTTTCATTTATTACATTTTAAATTTTTATTTTCTAGAATTATGACTTAATATATTTTATAAAGTTGCTCTCTAAATATATTTGAGCCGATATTAAATAAAAGAATTGATACAACTTGAGGTTTAGATTTCATAGTTTGGAAATGAAAGGTGAATGCATTCTGCTTAGTAAAATGAACTTGTGCCTTTGTTATACGTTCCAAAGTATTAACCACCCCAAAAAAGAAATGTAGTAGTATCAATGTCTGGCATACTTTTCAAGAATGGAAATTTTTTTGGGTATAATTTGTTGTTACTAGTAAAGTATGAAGTTTCTCTAGAATCAAATGATACTTCTCGCACTGCTAATATTCTCTTTTTATTTCAGGGAACAATTCTTTCCAGCTGCAAGTCCTTGTCTCTCTACCTTTTGGGTTTTATTTCATTGGCTCTCCAATTTTGACATTTGAGCTTTGGACTATGGATATTTCAGTCGAAAGATAGTAGTCTAGTTTCTGCCCAGTCCCCAGTGTGCATGGAGGAGAACTGCCGTCAACTTTGTAATAGCTATTTATCATAACCTTAGAGCCAGTAGTCTTTGTATTCTTTGATTATTTTGTTCGACCCCTAGCGGCAACTTGGGTTATGGCATTAGGTTTACTATCATCCTATTCATCTGTCAGATTTTATGGCTGGTTTCTCCTAGTTTAGCTGTCATTGAATTTTCAGTTTAATGAGTTGTCCCTTCGTCCTATCCATTTACTCTGCTTTCTCCCATAAATCTCAAGAAAAAACCACGAGACTTCAATTGTATCTAAACACGCTAAAACCAGAAAAAGTATGATAGTGCTTCCAGAGGTAAAAACAAAACGCTGATGTATCATTAGATTGAAGGAAGGTTTTGCCCTTACATATAAGTTTTTGTCATGAATGGCAAAAACAATACTACTCTACAAGAGTATAATGCCTCTTAAGAATAACTTGGATACCAGCTGATACCCAAAAGATACAAAATTTTTCTGCAAAAAAAATTTAACTTTCAACAGACAGCCAACGCTCGAGCCTACCCAGTTTCTATTTTCCCCTATGTGCCAGTCTTACTAATACAACACTATCACCTGCTTCTAACTGGTTGGATAAAGCTCAGCCATGTTAGCTGACATCCGAGCAAGCCATGCGATCCCAGCCAAGAATTCAGCAGTATTTGCCGCAAAAAGGGAAGCATCCAAAGCTTATCATTGTGATAAAAAGAGCAAATGGCCCATGGTATTCAAGAGCTTCTATTGCACTGGGATGGCCCTCCTACAACTCCATTTTGTTGAACTTTAACTCTTCGATAGAACAAGACATATGCAGCTGAAGTTTTAATATCAGATTCAGCGGCAGCTGAAACATGGGAATCATCAAAATGATACCATCTATCATCATCGATCAACTGCAAATTAAAAGAACCCGTCAGTTGTTTGTAGGTGTACAATGGACCTATAGTCGACCAAGATTATAGGAGCCCCTTGAACGACTCATGCCAAATCTCCAAGCTACAAAATTAACTAATTGCTAACTCGAGAAAAATATATTCTGGGGTGCAACATAGCCGACGAGAACAATACTCTACAACAAAAGGACAAGACAAATTAAGATACCTTGCAGTAAGCAGTGTAATGCCCGCCACCTAGTCCGCCATAATGGTTGCTTATTGCGTATAGCTCATACACATGTGAGCTCTCAGTTGCATCCTTACATTTCACATACTTGCTTAAATCCAAATTATGTATGGGAAAATTCACAAAGGTATCAAGCTTGTTCTTCAGCCATCGGCTATAAGAGAACCGCTTTAAGTGGAAAACAAGTATGTCAGGTAATCTCCATAAATCTAACTTCTTGGAGGCTTGTCTATGCTCCTTGCAGCCAGGACAATACCTGCATTAAAATTATAAACAGCCAATTAAATCCACACTAAAGGAGCAACAAGCTTCTTAGTACAACACATGTCATTACATACCACATATCATCTGGTCCTAAAGGTTCTTCCTTCAGGAAGGCCTCCAAGCATGAAAATAAGGATATAGCTTCTTGCTTGGTTTTCTTCACTGTAAGTCCACTTTTGTGAACCTCAGGAAGATCCTTGAGGTAGCTGGCATCATATAGTTCATATTCCTTCTCAGTCCAATCCAAAATCACCTTTAGCATTCTAGCTGGTTGTATCACCGTATCTTTTACAACTGGCCTGCAGCAGGTGCCCTGTTCATCAGTTAAACAAAGATGAAATGCCATCCCCCTGCTGGAATTTTCCACCGGTTCTGTGTACTCCATTGATCTGCCTTCATGACCAAATTGAATAGTACAGCTGTTCATTGGTTCTTCAATTATTTCCGAGGGAGAACCATTTTCTGCACCATCCTTAAAAACAGGTTCTGGTGAGATGAATGTTTTTCTTCTCAATGGAGAAAGCACCTTATCGACAGAAAAATCAATATCGATTCCATTACGCGGGTCTTCCAAGAAAGTGACAAGCGGTGTCAAGAACAACTTCCTCTCACTAGCCTTCGAACTGTCTATGATACATCTGGAGAAAATGCATAAAGATCAATAGGAGGTGAAGAACAAGATATAACATGTACAGTCAAGACACTACTCCAAAAGCTACTTCTTCTTGATGAGCGATTAGTAACTAAGAAATTTAGAATTCACCAAACATGTTCACAAATCCACATTTTCACTCCAGCTGCTAAGAGCAAGACGGGCAAAACACTAGTAAATTATCAAATGCATGAACAACGGGATAGCTGCTGGGAAAAAACAGCAGCACTTTTCAATTTTGACCGCTTGCATATTAGCTACAAGATTCAAGGATTTTTTTATGAACAAGTACTACAGAATTCAACAACTTAAACTTACTTGTCCTGGTACCTATGACTAATCTCCAATCTTGTTAATAGGGCCACGTTTTTCGGGAGTCTATATGCAACAATATGTTCATCATCCTTGATTGAATTCAACATATCTGTAGGGTTCTCAAAGTATCGAAATATCCGATGCTCATAGACCTGTTCAAGGAACATTTATGTGAAACAAACAGTAGCAAAGCATGCCACACCAACACAATTCTACGTACTATTCTAGTACATACATTTGCATAAGCATGCACATGGCTGTACCAGTGCATAAATGAGCAAAGAGAATTACCTCTGCAAGTAGCAGGTATTCATCAGTCCTTAAGCAGCATGCACTTTCTAAAGCCTGTATAAGATCCTTAATGTAACCATGTTTCAAAACAGTAACAGTATATGGCATTGGAAGGCCACTGCCATCACTATAAAACACTGTTACTGTCATTGTCCTTGTCACTGTTGAAGGAAGTGGTAAAGACAAATACATGAAGGGGTCAAATGTTATTGAGATTTTGTTGCAGACCGGACAAACCAGAGTAGACTTATATTGACCCTGCAATAAATAGTTTCAATATGAGTAAAATTGCTGGCCATAGACACTAAAACAAGCTAATTCCCTCAAACAACAAAACAAATAGCAATTTCAGATATTTTATATGCCAGCAGGGTTCTGTCAAAGAATTACTGGAAGTGACATAGCCTTAGTTGACAAACAGAAATATGTGATTATCCTCCTCCATTGCTGAAAGGCATTGTAGATCTCCAGCAGACCAAGGTAAGAGAAAAATAAAGTAATTCCCAGGTCTAGTCAGGGACGTAGAAAAGAAAATCAATTAAATAAAAGCCAAACAAGAAACAGTCCTACTCAATTTTAAGAAAGTTTAGCACAGAGACAATAAAAGACAGAAAGCTGAGAACCTGACAAGTGTCAACTATAACAGAGTCATTTCTGGCTCTGTGATATCTCCAAAGCTCGTCAGCAACTTCTTCATCTGGACGACCATCTGAGTCTTTTGTCTCAAAGTACGGTTTTTGCTTAACACGATTAAGATCTTCATGTAATCCATCCAAGAGGAAAGCAAGTAGTTCCTAGAAAGAGAAGCACAACACTTTATAATATATCTACCAGCATTTTACCAGAGACAATGGAAACATCTCAACATCGGACCATCTGCTCATAGTGAGAAGCCCTACCAGTAATATTCTAGGCGACGAAATATAATATAGGCTTTACTAGTGGCAAATGTAGGGTACTTTCATCCAAGACTAAGAGTTCCATTTCTCCACTTACGGAGGGAATAGGAAAAAATATTTTGGGACATAAAACCTAAAATCTTTTTAAATAAAGGAGGACACATACATGATATGTAAACAAGTAACCATCTAATATCATCAGATGATTCAAAAGCATTCCCAAAGACCAAAATCAATATTGAGAAAAACGTACGGCAGATATGGCAAACTCGGCCAAGACGAGCAATACCAACCTGAGAATCATGCTGGTTATATCCACTAAACTGGGGAGCAAATCGACCAAGTTTTCCTTTGAATGCACGTGGCGCAACAGGTGCCCGGCCGGAGGACCAAAGTTTCCTCAATAGTTCACCAAATGCAAATGCAAGTTCACCCTGTAAAACTAAAACAGATATTAGAAACTTAAATCAAATATCTTCCTAACAGAAAGTTCACACAATAGACAAAAAAAGCAACATTACATGCATCCCCAAAGGGTTCTGCTTGTTGATCTCATCAGTGTAATCCTGCAAGAAGTACTCAACAAGTGGAGGGGTATGAACCAGACATTGAATTGCACTATTCATGAAGCATGTGTTGCCCAAATTCTGCAGTCCTGCCAACCCTCCCTTTTCGCCTCTACTTGCAGGTCTCATACTATCATATCCATCCTCCATGTCACCATAAGTGGAGCTCAAAGAACTCCCTTGATAAGCATTAGAGCTATATCCAGCAGAAAAACCATTGGACAAAGTCGGACCACCAGCGATTGTGACAGATGACCTCAGTGGTTCAATTGGAACCAATGCCAAGTCGTTTCCAGTTGAATCGAAGCCAAAACCAGAAAGCAGCAATCCTTCAGCTTGCACCTCCAGGAGAATCTGGCGGGAGTGCATTCCATCAGCAATATTAACTAGAAAGAATGTATCAAATAATTTTAAGCCTTCTTAAATTTTATTTACTTAATAACGTGTTATTGTGTATCGTAAGGTTCCCCCACACTCTAATCTCCATCATAAGAACTCTGCATCTTAGTAGTCAGGAATCTCTCTATGTTTCAACAGAAAGTAGTCATCACCACCCCTCCCTCATTTCATGTTTACTTGGGAGTTGGAGGGAATATGAATTCCAGTTAAGGAACACAATACCCAATTTGAAGCTTACAACTCTTTCCTTTTTAGTCAATTTAAAACAGAATGCCACTTCCCATATTATTTTCTATTTTCAATATTCCCATTTTACCTTAATGACACTACCTTACAGGAATGGCATGGGTTAAGACCACATGACTGAAGGGTATTTTGGTATGTTATACAAAATAAAGATTCAAAAGACCACAAGATTAAGGCCACCTATTTATTTCAAGATTAAAGATTCAAAAGCCTTCTTTACACTCTTAAACTTCGTGCACAGTCAAACTAACACACAAAATGAGATGGAGGAGATAACAAGAATATAACTACATGCCAGCATGTTGCAGATTATTCCAATAATTCCTCAGGTCGTTTGGTTCACAAACTACTTATTCATGCATATAATGCAGGGAATGTGAATAATAATGGAATGATTGTTATACTGGGATTGCTTGCTTTAAAGAATTTTTTTTTTAATTCCCGAGAGCCCGTGGTGCACGATCCGGAACTCCGTGGATAATGGTCCCAGCCCACTACCCTTCTCCACTTAAATACTAGGATTTTGTTTGCGGCAGGGTTCCAACGCATGACGTGCGCCTAACTCACACATCACAAGTTGCGCTCTTACCACTAGACTAAAGCCCTAAGGCCACGCTTATCTGTATAAACTATAATAATATTAGATTACACCTATTTTTATTTCATGTTCTATCCCGCAATGTAACTTGTGCAGGTTTTAGCAATGCAGAGTTTACTAAGGCCTACCATATGTTTTATTAAGTTATTTGGCGACTTTTTTGGTACAGTAGACCAACCATTGTATTACTTATGCGGAATTTTTATACTGGGTTATTTTTGTTAATGTGGTAAACCAAACAACCCCTTAGTGTCTGATTAATGCATAGCACTGTAATCTAATCTTTCTCGTTTTCAAAGAAAAATAAAATGATAATGCACAGATTGCATATTGCATGAGAAACTCACATCTTGATCCATCTGCAAGTTGGAGTCCTCAAGTGTTTGGTCTGAAGCAACTAATACTGTATGCTTCCTTTTATTAAAATAATCCCAGATGCGTGCCTGCATAATCCAGGAAATGATAGATAAAAGCGTAAATTTTTTTCTCAGCTTAATGACATGAAAATAGAACTAGATAGTGTCCTACTCTAAAAAGAAACAAACCTTTTCTGGCGCTATTCCTTTGAGCCTACACACTATGCTATAAAGTTCATGTAAAGATGCCTGAAACATATAACACCATTTAAGAGTTACTTAAGAACTGGAAAAAAAAACAAATCCATTAAACAGAGGAAATCACCAAAAACACAAAGAAAAGATGCAGCTAGTACGTCACATTGATGAATATCCGGACAAAAATGAAATGAACGTGCCACAATATAACCTTATGAGCAGCCTCCATAGAGCTAGCAGTTTCACCCAGTCACTAAGTTAAAGAGGGTGCAAAAGTACAAAAAAAGACCATGAAAGTTTATGTGTGCTCCAATAGCATATTAGACATCATTCTCCATGCACCGCTCCTCATTTTCTATCACATTTGATCAATTTGGAATTTAAATTGATAATGATAATGATGAGGACAGCAATGACAATAACGACAATGATGAGCGGATCTAAGTTCCACAATTATACGATGATGATCAGCGGATCCAAATCCCACAATTATTTATTTAAACTAAAACCGACTGACAAAACGATTGATATTTCTCCAGCGAAAAACAAAAAAAAAGTAAATAGTGTATTTAGCAATATTCTTAAACAGCCACGACACTACCGGCTGAAAGGATAAGTGGATGTAGACTGATTGTTAATTAGAGATCAAAAGCAAAAGATAACAAGAGGGCACCCTGACATAAGGTGATTTTTTTATTTGAAGTGGCAAAAATGAATTTCCTTTAAATAGAGAGAGCAAGGCCGTACTATACCTTTTTACTTAACCTTATAACCTTGTGACTTCTATCTCTAGTATCGTGTAAATTGAGACACAATGGGAACACTTCCACGCTAAGTTGCTTGGCATCTCCCATAGAAATCATCTTTCGAGGCAATGCTGGTCCTCCCTTGTACCTAAAGGCAGTAGAGTATTTATCCCCAAAAAAAGATTAGGAAAGGAAATCACGTGAGAACCCAGATACTTCACTCATGATATTAGCAGATCACTAGCATGTATCAAAAACCAGGGCAAAGAATAGCACGAGAATCCTAGTGGAAAGTCAATACTCGTACACTCGGCTCTGACAAAGTATTTTGAGACCCTAACTAGCAGTCACTTAATCGCAAGAAGAAGAGCTACTGCTCTGATTGAGTTCCCCCTTCCAATGAAAACGAAAAATTATTAAGGAACAGAAAAATAATCTAATCTTGACAGTCAACCATAACCATCCATATACATAACTGTTAATTCCAACCATATGGAAAATTGCATAGCTGTCATTTCAACAGAAAATGCCTCTAGTACAAAATTGGAGTACTTTCCAGAACATCATAAGAGGTGTTGCCAAGATAAGTTCCACTGCACCATCTGCTAATGGGAAGTGTAAAGAGAAATAAACAAGAAAAACTTACCATTCAGAGAGCCTCTCCCATACTTCTTGTGCGACCAACACATAATCACGCCCTTCTTCCAAAGTTATGATAAGCTGGGGATCATCACTCTCGCCATCAATTTCCCTAATTATTATATCACTATTATCGATTGGTCCAGGTCTACTAGCTGTGTTTGGCAATAGAGAAGGCTGAGATTGAGTAGCGTCCTCGTTAAAGGGATAAGCACCCAGTGGCTGGCCAACGTACCTCTGCCAATCCATGAACCACCTAAACATACATACAAAACCAAATGAGCATGCCTAATATGTTTTTCCCTTTATTTGACATGTTTTAATTTTCTTCTTTCAGCTATTGGAAAAAAATTCTGGCTTCCACAAACTATCCGAACACTACCAGTGAAAGCAGAGAAAAGAAGTAAGAAATAATCAAACAGTTGGGAAGTAAGCAGTGCTGTGATCAGATCAATTTCTTATCTGGAAGTGGTTTACGTGTCGATAGGCAACCATATTCTGGAGCAACAATCTTAAAGTTTAAGATGAAAAAGCAAGATGGAGAATTCAATAGAAGGGAAGATCTGAAGAGAAGACCATACAACTAGGTGAGAAGAAAGCAAATAGTAGCTTTTTTTGCCTCTGTTGCAATTCGAAGCCTGGTCTCTACCAAATACCAAATATTAAGCAATCATTTTCAACAGATCCAAACAATCATTGTGAATATAGCCCTTTAGCTCTCATAGTTTCTATGTGATTCAGCACATTCAGGTCGTTGATGATTTTAACTTGACCAATGTTGCGTGCTTACTGCATGAACTCGATAACTCTTTGCATGGTGTAGATTCTGCCAAGAGGAGAAAAAAGAGAGGCGCACAGAAAACAAATATCTTCATTTTCTTCCATATAGGTGAGGAAAAAACCGAGTTGTACTATGCTGCCTGGAATTATTATTTTTTTGTGATGGCATTGCAGTCCGGGCCAGCTTACGCGCACCTAACTATTCCACTGTGTACCTGCTACCTCCCATCAGCCCAGGTGCCGGGTAACTCAATCCACTAGGGCTAAGCAAATCACCTATTATTTTTTGTACTCCATTGGAATTTGAACCTGAGACCTCATGGTCTCCTTCCACTTCATTGACCACTAGTAAGCCACACCTTAAAGTGTGGTACGCTGCCCGAACACTTGAGCCATTTTTACCGTTTCAACGCGCAAGGAATAAATTATGTTTTAATATCGCACCGACATGGGGGAGCTGACAAGCTAGAGTGCACCTCAACTAATTCCATCGGGTACATGCTACCTCCCACCCGCACAGGTACTGGGTAATTCTGTCCACCAAGGCTTAAGACAAATGGTAAGAAAAAACTTAGTATTTTTGTCTCCATTGGAATTTCAACCCGAGACCTCATAGTTCTCCACCAACTTTATTAACTCTCACAATTATGATTCTTATACCTTGTTGTGATAATTACTGAGAATTACTCCCTCAGTCCCAAAATACTTGTCATGTTTCGTTTCTCGAAAGTCAATTTGACTAATCTTTGAAGCTAAGTTAGATTAGATTAATTTAAAAAATTTAAATTAAATTTTAGATATTCGAAAACTATATGAAAAATACTATAATTTGCAATTCTTGTCATATCAATATGGTGGAAAAATACATATCAAAATATTGATCAAGCTCATGTCCTTTGATGCTCGAGACGTGAAACACGACAAGTATTTTGGGACGGATGGAGTAGCACATTCACCACCTTATAATTAAAACAAAGAAGAATCCTTTCAACATGCAGAAGCACAAGTTAGCTGATAGATGTGAGTGGATAAGATAAGCAGCATAACAGCGGATTCAGAATAAGCAAATCATCATTTTTTTTCATGTTTAGAAAGAAAAAAGAAACACAAACTGAGAACTCCGTGCAATGCCTAGTTAAAGCATCAATGGCAAACAAAAGTAGATAAAAGAAAAGCAAAGTAGGGATGAGGAACCTGTTAGAAATAACATAATAGGTATTGCCTTCTCGCAAATTGGATTCAGCTTTGCGGGTAAGCTCCTGAATGATCCTAGCCTCTTCTTCGGGCGTGCACGGCAATTCAATAGATCCATTTTCCATCATGTATCCCGAATCTGGAATCGTCATGATCCACTACTCAATTCTACAAAATACCAAAAAACAAATAGAAAAGTGTCAACTATAAATTAAAAATCTGAATAAATTGGATTTTCCAAAATAAGAGTATAAAGAAAAGAATATACGAACCCTAAGGATCGGAAAGCGAAAAAGGGGAGGTAAATGGGAAGGAAGAACCCTAGATTACAGGAGAATACCCAAATTTCCCCCGATTTGGATTTTTGAGGTGATGCACAAATACACAAACCGTCTCTCTCCCTTACTGTCTTTTGAGTTTTCCTCCACCTACCTTTTATATATGATATACCCAATCACACCCTGTACTTTCTCGAATTCACTACTCTTTCCCTCTTTTCTTCAATATTGTATTTCCTTATTTAAGTTTATTTTTTTGGTAAATTGAATATACTTCTTCTTCTTTTTTTTTCTTTTAGATTATCGAAATGCTCCAAATATTACCTGAATATTCAAACCAACAAAGACAATTCCGAGCCTCCTTTTCTTCTTTTTTCTTGTTTGACTAAAATTTAAAGGAAACAGCGTCGCCCGGCAAGGCTCAATCCTATACCGAATTATACTTAGTTTACATTCAATTTTTGCGATTTATTTGATGACTTATAATTTATTTTTTTAAGATTAAATTAATTTAAAACATTATCCGCATCTTCATTAAGTCAATGGCTCGAAAAACTTAAAGCTACTCATCTCAAAAAGTTGATATGATTAGTGTAAAGTCAAAGCACTTAATCTTCTGTATGAATAAGAATATAGTTTTTTTTTATACTTGAAATAAGACTTAGGTATTAGAGATTGTTCAAAATGTATTCTAAATTTAAACCTTTCATAATTGTTAACAAGACCGTGATGGAAGAGAGATATTTAACCCCTCAAACAATAACTCACAAAGTCTTTTAATTTTTAAAAAAACGAAGAATTAAAGAGGTCTAAATTGTTTCTTATTGTCCAAGTATTATTTTCCGGTGTAATTTATCTGTACTTTATTATACTAGTATATATCTTTAATAGATAGCAAGGAGGCTGCAAGAACTTTTACTCCTTACAAAATGAAATGCAGCAAGTAGAACTTAAGCATGGAGCAAGAATCAAACAGAGACGGCTTCAAAAGCACTTTGCGTAAGCTGCTCAACGTTTGCTTCCCCAATCCGCCGATCCAAATACTAACGAATCCTGCAACGAACAAATCACCGAGCATCTTTTTCGACAGCATATCAAAATTGTCGAAATGCGCTCCAAGAGGGCTTACACAACATATATAAAGCCATTCAGCATTTTAATTAACCAACTTCCCTAACCGAGAGAGAGAGAGAGAGATCCAAATGTGTTAACCAGCTTAATACCGTGAAATCAGAAATCAACTAAAAGCAAGGGAATAACTGAAATTGTCAAGCTTCACTCCACAGAAGCTTCAAAACTTTCAGGAGCACAAATACACAAAAATTTGCAGTTTAGAAGTTGTGGAGCATCTAAAATATTTACAGCGGATTACAGCTTCCGCAGACAACTTTCATCTACTAATCACTGCATGAATCTTAATGACAAAATCATAAGGTATCAACAGGCAGCTGATGGTATACCCAGGCCACCCAAGAACACATACCAGCAAACATGCAAATAGGACTGGTACATGACATGGCCAATGCTACGAGTCAACACACCCTATAAACAATGACTATAGTGCCGTAACCTCATGTATGCAAGAATCTGCAGTGAGTATAGAAAGTTATTGCCACTTAACAAGATCTGCGAGTTAGTGTTGCTAATCATAGATGTCATGTATTAAACACCCCACGAAAAAAAAAGCACCTAACACAAATTATAACATGGTCACTCTCTCATCAGAGCTAGCAGAGGCCTCATTTCCAGCTGGAGAAGTTTCACCACCTTGTACCTCATCTTCGCTGAACATGCTGTCCTCACGCGATTCAGAGGATGAGGCAATCTCCTCATCACTAGAAACCTCAGCCTTGTGCCGCCTCCTCACATCCTTTATGCCTCTTCCTTGAAGAGCCAGTCGCCTGCGCTTTCTCGCCTTCCTCTTGCCTTTGGGAAACTCTTCCTGATTTGATTCAAAAGTCCTGTTCCTGATATCTTTTGCAGCTCTATCCATGCAATCTTCATTATCCTCTGATTCAGTAAATTGGGAATCAACATCAAGCTTGCGTCTCTTCCTACTTGTACTGGTCTGATAAAGAAAAGTTAAACATTAAAAGGATATAAGTCAAATAAGAATCCAAATGGTAAATTGAATATGCACACCATTCCTTAACAAGCATTAATCAACATAGTTCCTTTCAGCAGTAACCTAAGCTTCATGGATGGTTTTCTGCCTTATTTGGGTGGGCACGCAAGCGGGCAGGGTTACAAGGAGATCAGTAGGTCAAGACAACAAACTTCGACATTCACTCTTTTTCGAAAGAAATCGAGGTGAAGCATAAATCAGCCGCAGAGCCTTCAAAACTAACTATTTTCCCAATATTTGATGCCCACACCATCGATTCTTCCCAGTGACCTCACTCTAGGACAAGAGACTGCCTCAAATTGAACCTTCCCTCGCTCAACAATTAAATATAGCCACAGTAACATATTACTTTAAGAAATTTCATCAACTCAACCATTGATGCGACAAGTTTCTTTAATTGCAAGAGCTATCCAGATTTACTGCAGGAGTTTGGAAAGGTAAAAGGAAACATAGCGCAGTTGCCTATTTCCTTCACACAGTATGCTCAGGGAACCAGCCAAATCGCACTTTGGCTGCATACTAAGAGAAACCCTTTTTAATACTCCTAAATAATACTAGGAGAATTATTTCTTTTATAGTCAAAATAAAGACCATTCTTCTTCTCCCTCATTTGGGGTGCAATCACCACTTTGGCAAACAGGAACTGGTAGCTCCGGGATTCTATGAACAAAGAGAAATCCATGGTGAACAGAAGAATTTTCTTTTTTATTCCATCGTCTAATAAATGTGAGGGACAACAACTTTTTGATGCCATATATATGGCAAGCCAGTGTTACCAACTTTTTCGACAAGCTTCTGAAAAGGTAAGAATGTGGAGATTCTCATTGTCAGAAAGATGTACCAGTTGAACCCACAGAGCTGGATATTGAATTTGAGTTTTATCTCCCATAACTCTCTCTTTCTCCAAGTCTTCCCTTCTTTATTAGGAAGTGTAAAAAAGCACTTGGCAGATGACTTAAATGGCAACCTTAGCTGAGTCTTTCAGAATTGGAGAAGGCTGAAACATGTCATTTAGTTTACAATGGAGGCTTTGTTTATTCACTGTTAGTCTTAAACATTAAGGGTATTTCTTGTTAGTTACAATATATTAAGGATGAATTTAAACTTCTAGGTAAACTTAAGGGATATTTTAAGTTAAAAAATCAAACCAAGTGATAAAATGTCACAGGAATTGTTAAAGCATACCTTGGGACCTCGATCGACCAGGCGAGACCATTCACTTCGGTTCCTTAAGCAATCAAGAACAGCCTGAGAGTGACTTGAATACGCGTAACGTTCTCCGTTGTGCTTCCTCAAGTTGGGCCAGTGCTACAGCAAAAGAAGGAAGATGAGAAGACAAATTAATTAACACCAGAAAGAGATTGTATCTTATCTCTTTAAAGCAACTGTACCGGAAGGACTGCATTGCAAAGCTCTTCATAAGTCATTCTTTGACCTTTGCTCATAATCTCAGCAAGCAAGCCTAAAAATGCAGAAAAATATGTAGCAACAATAAGGAGGAATTTCATAGTAACAGTCAGAAGATCCAAAATATAAGGAATTATTTTTTAAGAACATCCAGCATATATAACTCTCGAGAAGGCAAAACCTGGTAAAGTACGACGCGAAGGATGTCCAACCACTTTTGCATCATCAGCAGCAGCTGCACTTGGTGAATTGTGCATTGAGGACAAGTTCTGCTTATTTGCCTCTTTTGAGGCACACAAACTACTACTTGCAGAAGTATTGGAGGCAAGTATGTTACTCTTCTTCAGAGACTGCACACTTTTTGCTGATCCACCATCTCCTCCTCTCTTAATAACAGAATCTTCTTCTCTCCTACAACCAGGAGAAATTGATCTCTCGGATTTCTTAGTTTCCTGAACCACCTCTTCCTGGGAACAGTTTGAACCATCTTTGCCTATATCCTTTGACTTTCTTTTAGATGTCTACAGCAAATATAAACTCATATGTCAGAATAAATCCAAAAAAAGCAGATGATTGCCCATTACAGGAAAAAATCTAGCTTACCAAACCATGATCTTTTCCTCCACCACTGGATGTTCGCTTCATTAGCACACTTGTACCCGTTGGAGAGGTTAACTGAGGTAAGCTACCAGCATGACGCATCCGTGGCACTCGAGGAACTCTAGGAGAACTATTAAGTTCTTGATGAAGCAGTAGAGCAAGCTACATATGGATGATGGACAAGCGTAAGCTAAGTGAGAAAACAGTAAGCTTTATCTTTTTTTTTTGAAGAAGAGAAAACAGTAAGCTTTATAAATTCATTAATTCAACTTCTACCTCTTCATCACTTAGTGCCGCAGGAGATGACGAAGATGGAGGATGCATCAGATGTGTATTCACTTTAGAAGATGGTTGGGAATTGGGCTGGTTTATCTTTTCACCTTTCTGTGTCAAATGTGTACCTGTAGCTTTATTATGTACATGTGAGGCACTCTCACTTTGCAGTGAAGTAGAAGACTCTGCAGAGTGTGAACCAGCAGGGTTGCTACGCACAGCTGATGTTTTAGCAGACGAATTGAGGACTGAATCCTTTGCTTCTGATACTGTTCGCTTCACTGGAGCATGAGAGAGCTTGGTCGACTGCGAGGTCTTCGATGCCGAACCAACTGATGACTTTGGGAGCTCTTTCAACATTTTCTTTGGTCTTTCACGCCTCTCCTCATCCCTACCAGAATCCATTGACTCTCTCTCTCTTTTATTACTAAGATTAATCTCAGACATTCCTCTCGGTCTACCATTAGAATCGTGATTACGAGCTTTTGAGGATGTTTGATTCTCAGGAGCAGAAGACTTGGTTGTTCCAGTAGATGATTTTCCCATGGATAAAACTACTTTACGGTGATTAGAAGCTGGTAAAGGATTTGTGACTGGTAAGCTGGATCTAGGTGCATCTTCAGCAGGTTTTGAACTTTCCTTGTGTCCTGAACTCTTCCTTGGTCCTACCGCAACTTCAGCAATCTTAGATTCTTGATTCGATTGACAGAGAGCGCTGGGTGATTCATCAGTATTAGTTATATTATTATCACCCATTGGT